TAAGTCCTCGTAATCTTACTCACTAAACATTTTATTCACAAAAATATAGATTTACTCATTCTAAACCGTGAATTACTTATTCCAAAAAATATGAAATTACTCCAAAAATATCTTACAGGGTGTATTAACTATATCTAGAAAAGGAGGTCCGTGATGATGTTCTTCCTTATCTTTTGTTTCATCGCTGTTGCCGAGTAATTTCTACTCCTACTCTTTGAAACTTTGAGCAGTGTCGGATTTGGTTGCATTATAGTTGGTTTGAGACAGGAATCAAGTTTTGGCCAGTCTTCAAAGTCCTGATCATTATGTTTGTTTTTGTTGTTTCCTCTTTATTATGGTGTTTTATTGTTTTAATAATGGGGAAGCCTTTTATATGTGATCTTTTAACATAATTTGAGTAAAAATTGTCTTTTAATAAAAAATATATCTAGAAAGAGTTTTTAGAATGTAAATTATACCTAAAAATTTATATTAAAACTTAAAAGGAAGATGAAAATTTGGACGTATTTAGGGCCCAAGAAGTAACCAAAGTGGGGTGGTTAAAATATTATCATACTAAAAAATTAAACATTCCTAGGGCTTGAGTATTATCTTATTGGCCATTATGATATTTGAGTAGAGGTTATTTACGATTTAAAAAAAAATTAAATGATGACACCGTGCCTTGGTAGAGACAATCACAAAAAGAGGAGTTCAACATTTGTCATCATAAAATCATGCTCTCATTTTTTTTTTTAAATAATGAAAACATTATCATTCAACACATGCAAGGGAATTATGTTCTTTGAATGGAGAATAATAATAATAATAATAGTAATAATAATAGTAATAATAACAACATCTACAACAATAATAAGGCTTATATGATGACCCTATGTCATGGGAGAAAACCTGCCAAAGAAATGTCACGGGACGGGAGAGAAACAATCACTGAAAAAAGAATTCGTGTATTGTTTTTTAAAAAACGTGAAAAATAAAGCAATAATTTAAAAATTAAATAGAGTCGGGTGCTGCAATGATATTTGATAGAAGAGGCGTAGGGCCCACTTTTAGAATGACAAGGAACATGGTACGATTTGTTGTGCAGGGCCTTTTGTTCCTCACCGTCAGATAATTAACAATGAAGGGTGTTTTAGTACTTTGAGAGATGCTAAGTATGTCGGCAAGTCTAATTTCAGTTTCAACAAGATAGGGTCTCATTAAAAAATTTTGAATCTCGTCAAAAAACTAAAATATTTTTTTATAGTTTTAAATAATATTATTTTGAAAAAAATAAAATTAAACAATGAAATGTATAGTATTTATTTATAAAAAATGTTTTACATAAGAAAATTTGGAAATACTAGGAGCAAAAAAGTGACCATGCAAAATATAATATTTTATATTAACCCTAGTATATTGACAAGAACCTTGTGGGAATACGGACCTTTTTTGGTAATGGAAACATTGATTCTGATACTATTAAATTATTAATTTTTTTGAAGGAAAATTTTTTCTTATAGTTAAAAAATTAAAATCTTAATGTATTAGTAGATTTGAGCATCAAATCTGCCATAAAGATAATCTCATCATGTTATATCTTATAATCTCATTACTTAAATTCATACTAATAATTAATATAAACTTGTATTAAAAATCTAAATAATTTTTTTCAATATTCGATGGGACGGATGGAGTAATATGTTCTGTTTAATATAAATTTATATAAAAAAATCATACGTTTTAGTTTTTTTAAATAACATATGGAGTAAGAATGTGTGAAGTCGATGGATCACTTGGAGACATTTCAAAGAAAAGAAGAAGATAGATCATAAATTGATTGGAGCAATTACCAATTTGCTAACTTAAAGGGTTATTTTAGCCTTTTAATAACATTTAAAAATCCCTAATAAAGTGTCTTGCCCAATTATAGATCTGTTAAAATTGCAGGCTTTAATTTGAATTTTAATATTTCAAGAGAATTTAATTGAGATTCTCCTTTTTCTTTATTCATAAAAATATTTATAAAATGTTTTAATTTTTTTTGGTTAGTTTTCTATTTTATTTTTGGGAGAAAGACAATAAAATACTTGAAAATTGTTAAATGACAAATAAATGTGGGCCAATTTCAAAATTTTAATTTAGACACCTTATATTATTTTGAAATTTTCAAATCTTGCAAAATTACGCAAATGCCATTTACTATTTTTTTTTAAATATTGTTCCCTCAGCACCCTTAGTCGGTTTTTGGTCGTCAGAGCTTTGGCAACATGTCACTGAAACTCTGTGACTGGTCGTCAGAGCTCCGGTGACTACTATTTTTTATGTATTGACTACTCTTTTTTAGTTATCGACTATATTTGTTTTTAGAACTCCGATAACTACTCTTTTTTAGCTACTAACTACTCTAATACTATGATTGATTACTTTTATTTTTTAAAATTAGGTGACTATTCTTATTTAGTTATTGACTGTTTTAGTTTCTCTATTAACGACCTTTGTTTTAAAAATTCAAAAAATGCATTAAGTGTTATTGGACATTTAGTGACTACTTTTTGTTTAGTTATTTCTTACTATTGTGTAATTAATAGCTATACAAAAGTAGTCATCAGTACTTTAAAAGCAAAAGTAGTAAAATTAAAATAATAAAAAATATATAAAAATAATTACTAGGAGTAAGAGCAACATTGTCGTTTCACAATATTTTAAAATTATAAAATAGTACAAGAGGTCTCATTTGAAATTTTAAAATCCATCCACCCTAATTCGTTCTTTAGCATTTTTAAGGGTATTTTAGTATCTTTCTTCCCCCCAACTTTACTCTATTAATTACTTATTTTATTACTCAATATATTTATTATATTATTTTTTTAAGCACCATTCATTTTTTTAATTGAAAACAAAGCCATTCATTCATTTTCTTATCCTCTTTTAAAGTTTCTCCCCCATAAATAAGTATATTTTAAAGAAAAACTAACAATTTTTATATATTTCTTATCCTTAATTAATTTTAAATAATATTTTTATTCATGTAATTTGATCAAATTTTTTTTTTCTAGAAAAAAAAATGAAGGAAGCATATGGTTTACAAAATGAAGCAATATTAATTAAGAATTAACATAATGATTTATTTTTATCCTAAATATAAGATTTTAATTTATTTTCTCTTCTAAATTCATAACTTTTTTCGTAAATTTTTTTTTAATTACTAGCACGTATTGGGGGGATTTTTTTTATTGATGAAGTATTTTTCAATGTAAATAATTAACATAAATTTAAAAAAATCAACATATGTTTTTTATCGAATAATTAATTAACTAATTTTTTTAACATATGCAAATTAAATTTATATATTTAATAGATAGGATGGCTTGCAAATGAAGACTTTTAACAAATACTCCTATGTCACTTGCTATGCCTGCAAGTTTGCAACAAACTTACATTTTGTCAACCAAGGTATTAGAAAATTTTACTAAATAATTATGCAATTCTTTTTTTTAAAGTATTTTTTTAAAAAAATAAGGAAGTACTGTATTTAAGTGAGAGATAGAATTTTAATTTTAAATATATTAGTTAAAAATCATAAATAGTGCAATTGATTTTCGATTTGGTATAAATGCAGAAACTACTATAATATTGTTGACATTAAAGTCCTTCCCCCTTTTTTAACTAATCATTCTAATTTTCAAGACTTACACCAGTTTTCTCGACTTTTAGTCTGTCACTGAATGAAGTCACATTACCTTCAAACCAGCAATCATTTTATCGTCCCTTTCTTTTATTTTTTTTTGAACTCTCAAATTTCATAATAGTTGGCAAGCAAAATATTTCATAATCATGTCAATTTGTTAGTAGTTGACAAAGCTAAAAACCAACCAATCAAGGAATAATTTTCATCAACCAACCAACCAATCGACATAACAATGCTAAAATATCAACCAACTGAATAATATCTTCTTTTTTTTTAAATGAACCAACCGATTGACGCAACAAATTAACAAATGACAAAGATCAACAACCAATGGAGTAATAATTTCCAGAAATGAATCAACCTGATTGATGTAATTGGTACTTTCTTCCGAATGAGAATTGACATAAACCAATTAACTCTGAAGACTGTTTCAGACTGGCCACTTGAGAAGGACATTCCAATCAATCCATGCCATATAGATAGAGGAAAAGCAAAATATGTTGGTAATTATGACGAGTTCCCAATATTATAGTTCAAGCTTCTTCTTCTCCTCCTCTCTCTCTCTCTCTGTGTTTTTTTTTTCCTTTTTTTTTTAATTTTCTTTCTGTTTTTTGGGGGATTAATCTGCGTGTAGTTCTATTTGTTGGTCTCCTTTATTTGTTGGGCCGAAGGTAGCTGTCAGCCTTAGTCGTTGGTTTAATTTATAGGTTTTTTTTTTGGACAAGGAAATCATTTTTATTGTTAAATTAAACCCTTCAAATTTTGGATTACGCATAGATAATAAGATAACCTGCGCAATTTTTGAAAGTTTGTGATCTTGCGTTTATGCAAATAACTCCACACACAACTTAAAATTTGGAGAGATCATCTACAAATCAATTAAATTTTGTTAGGTTATATTGCCCACAAAAATAAGGTTTAAGGGAATATATAATTAAGTTTTGTCCCTTGTACATGATCCAAAATTTAAATTCATAGGAGTTTTGTGTAATTTAGTTCATCATCATTTACTACGATTTTTTCCGAAAAATTATTCTCATGTAAGTGGATCTTTATTCCCAGCATTTATGGGATAGAATAAACGTTGTTGCACTTTAAATTTTAGCTGTTTCCCCTATTTTTGGAAATTAGATTCGATGCTTATCTTCATGCTTATATCTGAAATATTCAAATTAAAATTTAGATTGTCGTCTGTTTTATTATTTCCCATTTATCTCACCTTTTGCCCCTTTTTTCAATATTATTTATCAACAAGGTTGTCATAACAGTAATGGAATATAAATACAAGTGCTTGTAAGATATGGGTCACATTCTTATTAACTTTTCTTTGTAAACCAAATTCTTATGTTAACTGCACTATACTTTATTGCCTATTTATCTCACTTGCAGAGGCAGACAAGAAACCAAAAGGGAAAAAAAAACAAAGAAAAACAAAATGCGCTGCCACAGATCTATATTACATAATATGATATTATAACTAACTAAATATTGATAATCTAAACTCACTTTTAGGCCAAATGAAGGGGGAAAAAATGAAAATAGAGAGGGAATGGTTCTAAAAGTGAATTTACAAAAATAGGACCCACCTCTTTATCTCTCCGTTTACTTCATGAATCACTCTGATCCAAATTCTCATCCCACTACCTTTTCTGTCAATTTATCCACCACATTGAGCCCATCCTGGGAGGCAATTACCACTGTGCACCTGCATTACCCAATAAGGAGCTGTTTAGCATTATTTTCTTTCAAGGATTTGAGAATTAATTTGAAAGATACTGAATAAAATTTTTTAAAAGTTGAGTTGTATGTATCCTAAGTAATACAAGAATGATCATTACTTATAGATGTTAAGCTCAAAATTAACTCAATTTAGTGACACTTAAAGCATTATTTAAAGCATCAGCATTATTTAAGCCAGGATCTAACATTGTATATCTGACACTTAAAGCTAAAAAAAATTCAATTTAGTGGTACTAAAAGTATTCAATTTCATTCATGGAAAATGTGAAAAACTGTCATTGATTATAATCAAGTCATTTCGGTCAGCTTTTGTAGCTTGAGTTCATTACTATTTATGCAAACCATCTTCTACAAGAAGCAATGCTACAGCCTACAACTAAAAATATGCGATTAATTATTAATTTTTCACCATTTGAGATAAATATTAATTTGTCATTAATCATATTGCGGAAATCTTAGGAATATATAGGTTAGTTATCAGGTTCACTAATTAGATCTTCTAATAATGCTCCCTCCCTATTGGTCAAGGAGCAATGCTACTGCCTGCAAGTAATCTCAAAACATACTATTAGGTATAAATTGTCACCAGTTGAGATAATTATTAATTTAATGATATTGAGGCAATTTTAGAATTAGTTAGGTTAGTTATTAGTTAATAAGCTTGCTGTCCGAGGTAGGAAATGGTCCCATCATATAATTTTATTAGGATTGATAATTATTGTAGTAATGAGTAATCTAGTAGAATTAGCATATCTTATTTCAGCTGCTTATGGATAGGACTCTAGCTAGTCATTATCATAAACCCCTTTCTCATTGATCAATAATGTGAGATTTTTAAAACTTTGAAGAAGTTCTATGTGAATTTCCCATTGGTTCTACACTAACAAGGCTACTTGGAGAATTACATGGCTAGACTTCTTTTGCTTAATTTATCAAGTTGGCCATTGAAGTACGCCAGCGTTTTAATATGTTGTCTAATATTAGCATAATAATATTATCTCTTTTGCCATTTATTACGGCTTGAAGAAAACTGATGCTATGGCAAAATAATCACGGCACCTTTCAACTGAACTATAACAGTTTATTATGAGAAAATCACATGTGCGCCTCTTAAAAATCTTAAACCATATACCAAGTCAATCTTTTACTGCAAATAATTTTCAGTCTCACGTGAAATTAACAAAGGCTCATCACTCCATAATTGTGTCAATCACAAGAAGCTCAGGCAAAGGCTATAATTAGGACAAACGACTTAAAGAAAAAATTCATCCTGTGTTTCTAAATAATTTGCAGCAGATTCCAGAAGAAACACAAATAAGTGCGCAAGTTAGAAAATCTAAAAAGTATAGGAGGTCAAAGAAAACTAACGGAAATTTTGAAATGATTCCATGCCCTGCAACACCCTTAATTGTATCGAGGTTTTCTGCCACTTTAGCTGCAAATAGAAATTGAGACGAAAACGATCGACAACAGAGAAAACTGAGAAATGGAGTTTGAAACAGTCATCATGGCTAAGAATTTACCGAGGCTTTCAATTGGAGATGTAAAAATAACATCGAGCAAATTATGTCCTTCTTTGGTGACTAGTGGGAAGTCACCTCCAAGGGGCCCAGCTTGCCCTATAGATGGTCTTCTCCAGACCTTTGTTTACAGTGATAAACCATGAAGACAATCAGGACATGCAGGTGTTATAACAAAGCACCAGTGAATAAGCAGTAATATTCTTATGTGGAGATAAATCATAGTCAAAAGAATATAGATACACATTTCTTCACATGGGAAGTTGAATATATCATCAAATAGTACAAGTAGGGGGTTTCCTTGATTTTTTCCGTCATATTGTATAACTTCTGTAACTGCATAGTCCTTCATGAAACTAATTAACAAATCACACCCTAAACCCTAAACCCTATATACAAAAGCAAATAGATTCCTTGGAAACAAATTCTGGTGATTTTTAAGTCCATAACTTTTTATGAAGTCAGGAAAGCTAGAAATAAGACATAACATTCTTAATCTCCAGATCACAGAAAAATCAATAGCACTTCCCATTATGTGTGAGACAAAACTTATGAAATGTTTGTATGTCTAGCAAACCTCAGCATCGCCCAAGAACATATCATCAATCTCTTCAGCAGTTTCCAACCAGTCTAACTAGGAAAAGATAAAAATATATTATTACTAATGTATACGCGGGAAAATATCATTGACACAAAAATTTGCACATCCACTTACAGACTGAACTAAAACAGGAATAGAACCCTCCAGACCACCTTTGTACTGGTTTTCTTCAATAATGAATGCAAGTTTATTGGAAGCATTTAGTATGGACTGAAACAAAAGGAAAATCAAAATTTCAATTGCCAAAAATGAACATTCATCTAGACAAAATCAAGAAGAAACACCAGGAAAAAAAAAAAAAGCAAGTTATAGCAACCCACCTTCTTTTCTAGTACAGATTCCTCACCATGCAATTTACGGCGTCCAATGACAGCAATTAGTGATCCTTCTTCTATAACATCAGCATCATCAAATGCAAAATCAATCTGCACACAGAGAAAGTATGCATGAAGCAATACTAAGTTTTCAGCATAAAATAGCACAGAATTACTAATCCACTTAACTTTTTAGGTCATCAACACCATAGTCTAGAATTAGTCTAATGTTCTTCTTGACTTAACATCCATTGTTTCAAAAGAGGTTTCAAGAAATGCATTTAATTCGGACACTTCTATGTTGGCAAAGGCTTCACAAAGGAATGCTTACACGTCATAAAGCCCTGCTAAAGTTTCTAGCATATGTTCAGCCTTATTAAACAAGACATACTCGCAAAACAAAAGTGGAAAATGTATAAGAGGAGAGTCATTTGTGCACACTTGAGAACCCTCTTGGTAGCTATCCAGTGGAATTCCTGCCTTCGCTGCCTCACTTGCACTTGTGACAGACCTGCACAGAGCAAAGCATCTATCTCACCTGATTCGGTGGAAATTAAATGTTAAGGAATCATTTGAATAACTTATAAGCAGCTTTTCAATTGTGATTTGCGAAATATGAGATAAGTATGTGAGAGGAGTTTTGTTCCAGTTTACGTGAAACATATTTACAAGTGCTTGTATAGGTGATGCCAAACAAGCACCAAGTTACTAATTGGAAGTAGTACGGCATATCAGAGCAATAGTGATCCAAACTTGTCATAAGCTTTGTCTAAAACAATAAGAATTCAAAGGAAAGAAGCGTGAAAAAGGCCGAGAAACACAAAGTTGAAATTGGCATATATATGATATTAAAACGTCAATTATAGTTATACAAGGGTGTTAAACTCACATAGGGATCCCTACTACATCCTTTAAAGCACCAGTATGAAGTTGCCGGCCCAAATGCCTAATGGCCAAACCAGAAGCCTGACCAGACCCCAATCCTACAATCATGCCACTTTTTACGTATGTATCCACCTAGTAATGAAGAACATATCACTAATCAATTCATAGAAATGAGCAATTAAAGAGAAGAATAGTAAGAGGCCAATATCATTTCAATACTTCACTATTTAGTTAAATATAAGCAGCGCAAGTGTTTAAGATTTAACCGACAAAAAGGGAATTTCATCCATAACAAAAATAACTGTCATCAAATAGTGCTTTAACCAACAAGGGGAACACATCGCCGAAAATAAAATGTGAGCCATTGTCCGCTTCTGTTAATGCAAATGCTGAGAAAAACACCATTTGTACAGAGATTTTAGGAGTTAATGCTGAACTGAAAATCATACAGTGTATTGAGCTGCTTGGGACAGAGAGGAACTGTCGTCGAGACAAGAGCGAGGGATGATCCTCAGAAAATTGGACCTCCTTTTGTTTCTGTCACCCCATGGAGGAATATGCGAATGAGTGAGGGCAGAGAAAAACGATGAAGATGAAGCTACTAAAGCCATTGCCGTGCACTTCATATCCTCGCGATTTCTGAACTTGTGGATAAAGGCATTACTCCCTAGTCTCAAGTCTCAACTCTCAACGGACCGTATAGGCGTTCGGTTTCTCCCGTGGTCGCTTTTGCGCAGTCAAAACGAGTTGCGAAATCGTAACTGTCAATTTGATCCAACGGTAGAAAACAATTCAGTTAATAAAACGACGCCTGCAGTGTCGTACCACTCGTTCCAATGCACTGGGCCGGGAATCTGGTTTTTTTACTTTTAGGAAAAACTAATTTGAAAATTCTTATAATTTTCTTTTATTTTGGATCAGGTCCCTCAATTTTTTTTTTCTTTTTATGAAATCTTTTAACTTTCTACTGTTAAATCTGTCACTCCTTGCTGTTAAATTCAACTCACACTGTCAAAAATTTTCGTTAGATTTACCAAACTGTCCCCTCTCTCTTTTGCTCATTGCTCAACATCTATCGTTCCCTTCCCCACACTTCTCGCACATGCAAATGGCACTGTTCATTTCCCACCTCCCTATGACATTTTCCATTGGCATCTTCCCTCCACAGCCGAAAGGCCAAAGCCAACTATGCTTCTGCTCTGGTTGCTGCAACCTCATCACTCCAGTGTTCTCAATGATATGACGACCTTCGATCATTATCATTTGCCTTTGCCACGATCCTATCGTGATTCGCTTAACTATATTTAGATGGAAATCAAATTATGATTTCAAAAGTACTTTTATAGTTTATAAAGTAAATATATAGAGGAGTTTGTCTCGTTTTGCGAAAAAATACTTTTTAAAAGTACTTTTAAGGGTTGTCAAACGCTTCTTTTAAATGGGGCAGGATAAGCACTTTTGTTGATTAAAAGTGATATTGCAAGGATGAACAATATAATTAGCCCATCCAATTAAATGGGGGAGAATTTCCTAAAAAAGCACAAGAAAGATAGGAAAAGCACAAGCATTATGTATTTGATTAAATACGTAATGGTTGGGGGCATTTTATCAAAAGTTTGAGAGTATAAACGTTAGTGAGTTAGTTAGTAATAGAACACGTAACTCAAAAGGATATCACATATAGAGCTTATGAAGATGGAGACAAATAAGAACCTTCATTGTCCAAGGAGGTATCATAAGCATGGGTTTTATCATAGAAACAAATTTGGCCAAAAGGTAATATATCTCTTTACATTGCCTCTCCATTGATTCTCATGGATGGCCTTCTCAGTTAAGATAGTCATATGAGCACGGCCCCCACATGGTTAATTTAAGAAACTTATGCTTATGCAAAACCTAGTTTTTATCTTCAACATGAGATAACCACTTTTATTAATAGAATACTCTGTTTGGCTCTATCTCCAACAGAAAACAAGGTCACCATCAGGAATAGGTGATGAGTGCATAACTAGCTCTAGTGGCTCTCACTCAAAATTTCAATGGCAACCCGATGGTTCTCACTTAAGGGTGATGAGTGCATAACCAGCAAGCCATGAGTTCGATAAGAAACAGTTCTCACTCTGAACCTTACTGATATATATATATATATATATATATATAGACAGAGAGAGTGAGTAAGTGAGCATCATTGTCAAAAGTGGAGAGCTTGGGTTGGAGAGGGTATAGGTGACTTTGTGACTACGGGAAGGGAAGGTGGTGTGGAGAGATTGGTAGGAATGGTGAGCCACTTACATGTCGAGAGAGTGGTGGGGATGAAATGGAGTCAATGTTGAGCAATGGTGAAAGAGAGAGGGAGCTTCAAAGCGGTTAACAAAAATTTCTAACAGTCTCAGTTTATATTTAACAGGAAGAACTCATGGATGCAACGGGAAAAAGTCAAAGGACTTGGTAAAAAAAATTGAGGGACCTGATTCAAAATTAAAGAAAACTATAAAGACCTTCCAATAATTTTCCCTTTTTTTTCTCTTGAGTTTCATCTTTATATAATTTCATTCTTATAGTTTCATCAGTTAGTCACAACTCAGTCCTTAGAGCCCATTTGGTATGCTAAAAATCTTGTGATGGAAAAGAAAAATGTTAATTTTCCATCGATTGTGTGCGTTTGGTTGTAACATTTTCCTGAAACCCATTTTTCGGCAATGATAGGTTTTTCAGTATATAATAAAAGATGATTTCCTACCAATTTTAGTGGGAATCGATATTCCATCACATGTGGGAAAATGCTATTACCCTTGAAATTTGAATAAAATGTTGGGCATCTATTCTGTGACCTTCATGAAAAGCATGGAAGCTGGTTATATCCCTTTTGAACTTCTCTCTCCATTGAATCTTTCCTTCCCCTAATTTCACTTCCATGTCCTTTTTAAGTTTATAGCACTACTTTTCCTGTGCATATCCATATCAACATTACTGGGTTTATTTATGTATTCATAAATCAAATTTGGCAATCAAGTGTATATAAACTGACAATTGCACTTGTATTTGATATTTAATCTCTCCCTGCTAGATTTGTCTTTAAATAGAAAAGTATAGTCTCATTTAAATAATTTGGCAACTAAAAGTATATTCTCATTTAATGTGGATTAGCCTCCAACGAAAAAAATCTCAATCATACATTGGACTTTTGTATCTCTGCTTTCAACACAAGAATCTATAATTGCTTAACTTATCCTATGTTCTAATAACACAGTGTACAACCATCTGCCTTGTTTTTCGTTAAGAAAAACAGAGGTAAGCAGAGAATGTTAAACAAGAATTTGGTGGAGCAAATTTGAATTTGATGGAATTATATATGAATATTTTTCTACATAAAATTCAAATTTGCTTGTGTAATGATCAAATTATATGTTGCACAAAATACATATTTGTTTGAGCAAATTTGAATGTGATGTAAGAAAATTCAAATTCCATAAAGTATAGAAGACATCAAAAGGCATGAAGAGTAGAGATCTCAAATAATACCAAAAGAATCATCAAGATAAAGTTAGTGGCAAAACTGTCAATAACATGAAAGATTATTTATCTACATGTATGTATGTATGTATGTATGTATGTATGTATGTATGTATGTATGTATGTATGTATGTATGTATGTATGTATGTATGTATGTATGTATGTATGTATGTATGTATGTATGTATGTATGTAATAATTAGAATTGGATAATAATTTATGAAATAGTTAGTAAGCATTGTATGGTTGACTGTGAGCTATTTTGGAAAGGTAGGAAGTATGGTGCACCTGCTATTCATAGAGGTATAATTGATCTTGAAAATGCTTTGAAAAGTTTATGGAATTTTCTTCTTTTTTAGAAGATAATTTGTAAAATGTATAAACTTTTATGGTTGAAATGTTAATGAAAAGTCTTAGTGACTTAGCATGTGCTGTTTTTTTAATGCACTTTTGAATATATGAAATTGATTAGGGGAATGTAACAAAAGCACCATTGTTTAATACATAACTTATGAACACTCTTTACTATCAAGAACAATTATTAATTAGTAACAAAATTTCAAGCCAAACTTTCTCACTCAACAATAATTACTAATTAAAACCTTAACTCCCATTTTGAAACTTCACTACAGTCTCATAAGTGTAAAACAAAATTAACTTTTGAAGAAAAAAGACATTGTTACCAATGAAATTTTTTGCATCTAAAACTTAAAAAGAAAAAGATTCAATAGATGTTGTTAGTGAAATTGTTGTTCTAAACCAGAAAATACATAATCAAAGTCACAATTTTTTCCACATAAAGCTTAATAACAGATTACGTAATGTTACTTTACCAGAACATAAGAGGTACCCATAGATGAATAATTAATCTTGCAAGAATATAATTACAAGAGAAGAGCAAAGAATCCAAAATAATAATCTCAATGCATGCACGCACACATATAACTTGTTTTTAGAGCTATGTCTATGAAATAGTTCCTATTGTTTCATGAGATGACCCACTTAGTAATCTCAAAATCTGTTCTGGAAACGTGTATCTCCATATTATTGGATATGTTGGAGGTCTTGTAACAAAAATGCGTTCTTTCATCTCAAAATTTGACTCCTCTTAACAAAGAGTTAAAAAGGGTTATGTATAATATTTGAAAATGTCATTTTTAGCTATGGATTTGACAGTCCATATATAATGTAAAACAGATCACGAGGGCTTTTAATGAAATAGTAGGAATTTATCATATATTCAATTGGGTAGAGATATTTAAAATTTAGTTACTACTTGGAATCAATATGGATGGAAGGTTGCTCTTTGCATAGCATTGCTACTAAGTGACTTGAAGATTGACAAAAGAGGTGGGTTTGCCTTCAACACAGCTTTTTGGATAAAAGGGCTTGTAACATTCAGTGAAAGGATCACTGATTTGAATAAGACAAATCAATGTTCATAGAATTTTGATAAATGATAATGGTAAGTGATAATTATGTTCAGCTTAGCAACTTTTGACTCTAATAATGGTGAATGGCCAACAATGCGTGACAACATACTTTTGACTCATAAGACATTTTGATTTGGGGTATTTTGTTAGTTATTTTGGTGACACAAAGTAGTTTGTGTACAAGAAATTTTTGACATGTCAATTTTATAGAATCATTTATTGTGATTATGGAAATTAGGAACTCCTGAAGCAATTTAAGTAAATTTACAACAAAAATACAATGATTCACAACACAAGTAAGTAACTTTACAACTAAACAAATGTGTTCAAAATTAAATTAAGCACATTTACAACTAGAATATAGAAATTTACAGAAAACATTAGGAGATATGACACAGGTATTTGATGCAGCTTGTCGTTAGGCTCTCAAAACAATACTAAGCTAACTACATTATAGGGTAACTAACCTAGGTGTTGATCTCTTTGAGGAACCGATTGCCAACTACTAACTAATTAGGTGTTAATCACAAATTAACCAAGGGAAGTGACATAATTGATTTAACTAATCTAAACTAGGAATTGGTAACTATTGTTTATGATTTTCTGGTTTTATTATGGAATGGATGATGAATGTAGTGAATCTCCTTAATAATTGACTTAGTTACACTTCCTTGTTTC